CGTCACCCGGCTGTGTGTGTGCGTGCGTGTGCGTCTGTCTGTCTGTCTGTCTGTGTGTGTGTGAGACACAGCGAGCGCGCGCGCTGCACTAACTCAAGCCCTCTTACCTTTTTCACCCAAGGCTGGCGCTCTACCACTTGAACCACAAGTCCAACTTCTGGCTTTTTGGTAATTTGAGAGTCTCACAGGCTTTTCTTCGCAGCCTAATTTCGAACCAGTGACTAGAGATTTCAGCCTCCAAAGCCGCTTGGATTACTTACAGGTGTGAGTCAGCCGCCCCCCATTGTATCAGGCCATTTGAACCCAGGGCAGCGAGGGCAAGGACATCCTCCTGGCATGTGGTCTCCACCCCCAAAGTGAGGAGGACGCGCTGGTCTTTCTAGAGAGGAGCCCAACGTTGGAGAAAGAAGGTAAGAGGAGAGGGGACATGTCCCCCTGAGGTGAGCCTGTCTTGAGAGTCGGCACTAAGAGACTCAGGTTCGTTTAATGATAGTTTTGTTTCTGCTGATTGTGGAGTACATTTTTTTGTTGTTGTTGTTGTTGGCCAGTTGTGGGCCTTGAACTCTGGGCTTGGGCGCTGTCCCTCAGCTCTTCAGCCCAAGGCTAGCGCTCTACCACTTGAGTCATAGCACCACTTCTGGTTTTCTGGAAGAGTCTCACAGTCTTTCCTGCCTGGGCTGGCTTTGAACCACGACCCTCAGATCTCAGCCTCCTCAGTAGCTAGGATGACAGGCAGGTCACACTGGCGCCTAGCTAGAGCAAATCATTTTTGAGATAGAACGTGAGGATTTAATGACTCGAAGTGGCTGGCCTTGTTACAGGTGTTTTGTTTTTTTAATGATATTGGGGCTTGAACTCAGCGTCTGGGCACTGTTTCTTTTTCACTCAAGGCTGGTACTCTACCTCTTAAGCCACACCTCTATTTCTGGTCTTTTGATAGTTGGACAGGAAGAGTCTTTTAGATTTGTCTGCCTGTGTTGCCTTTGAACCAGGATCTTCAGATCTCAGCATCTGGAGTAGCGAGGATTATAGGTGTGGGCCTCCAGCACCCAGCTGAACCAACCATTTTTGAGGAAAAATATTGAGGCTTTGGGAAATGAGCATCTGGCCTTGTTACACTTTAAAAGGGGAAGTATAGAGGCTGGAAAGGTGGCTCAGCGGTAGGGTGCTTGCCTCCCATGCATGAGGCCCTGGTTTGGATTCCTCAGCACTACATAAACAGAAAAGGCCAGAAGTGGTGCTGTGGCTCAAGTAGTAAAGCGCTAGCCTTGAGCTGAAGAGCTCGGGAACAGAACCCAGGCCATGACTACCCCCAACAAAAGTGGGGGGGGAGGGCTGGGAAGGTGGCTCAGTGGTAGAGCGCTTGCCTTCCATGCCTGAGGCCCTGGGTTCGATTCCTCAGCACCACATAAGCAAAAAGAAAAAAGCCAGAAGTGGCGCTGTGGCTCACGTGGTAGAGCGCTAGCCTTGAGCTGAAGAGCTGAGGGACAGCGCCCAGGCCCAGAGTTCAGGCCCCACGACCGGACCCAAAAAAAAAAAAAGCTTGTGTTTCTTTTCCTTACAGTGTCTCCAGAACTGAAAGGAAAAGAGTGCTGGAGTTTATCCAGAACTGTTGGACTGAGCTGTGGCTTGAGCAGCATTTTTTGACCCTGGTACTATTCTATGGGAAGGGAGAAAATTTCATGTGGAGCCCAGAGTTCATGCCTGTAATCCTAGTTTCTCAGGAGAGTAAGCTCTGAAGATTCTGTTTGTGTGAGTGGTTTTTTTGTTTTATTTTTTGTTTTGTGGGTCGTGGGGCTTGAACTCTGGGCCTTAGCGCTGTCCCTCAGCTCTTCACTTGAACCACAGCGCCACTTCTGGTTTCCTGATGGTTAATTGGAGATAAGAGTCTCATGGACTTTCCTTCCCTGTCTGGCTTTGAACCCCAGGGTCCTCAGATCTCAGCCTCATGAGCAGCTAGCATTACAGTTGTGAGCCATCAGCCCCAGGGTAAAGATTCTGTTTTAATTGCTAATTAACCAGCAAATGGCTCAAGTGGTAGAACCCCAGCTCTAAGTGAAAATGCCAAGCCAGACGTGCAAAGCCCTGAGTTTAAGCTACAGTTCTGGCACATGCATGTGTGTACACGCGCACACACACAAACCATGAAACATCACTTGGGTAAAATTTAACATCTGCAGTATTTTTTCATCCTCCTTTAATTTATGCCAAATGATAAAGTGAAAAGCTTTGTTGTGCTCTGCCTGCTGGGGAAAAAAAATTATTTGTGAAATTGAGAGTTTATTTTAGTGTGTAGTGGGATTGTTTTTGTCCCACATTCTGGATAGAGGAGTTAAAGACCAATTTCCTGAAAAACAGTGAAACGATAGAGTGTTTTAGGCGCTAGGCCCAAACCCCAGGAGTTTCACATTTCATCAGATCTGGCCAGCTGCTTCTCGAGAAGGGCAGGGAAAGATGGTGTATTACATGGTACAGGCATGCCTTGGGAAGACAGCACTTCCAACCTTCTAGAGGCATCTTCTGTGGGTGCAGACTTCAGGTTTTATAGACATAGCACTGGGCGGGGGACTTAGGATATACATACAGTCCTGAGCATATTGTGATCATTATTTATTATCCATTTTGTGGGGGAGAATTTTTAGCTATATTTTTACCTCTGTTACCATGGCTCAGGGTAAACCAGACCTGGTATGTCCTGAGGAACCTTTTCTGTTAGGAGTCATTTTGGTCCCTTATAATAATGTCATCTATTTTTGCTAGGTGAGGAACATGGCTTGGAGTAGCAAGTCCACATGCAAAATGCAAACCAAGATGTCAAACTTTTCTCTTGTGGTTAGTTAATTTTCAGGGTCAGCAAAAGTAGTTTTTGACCATCTCTTATCTAGAAGTTTATGCAAATGAGGTAACTCATGAAGCGAAATCTCTCAGGATGAGAATGGTAACCAGTCAGGAATTCTTGGGACTGGCATCTGCAGTGCAGGCCAGGTGGTGAGACTTGGTGGAGAATTGGGGGTTGACTGTTGTCTCTAGGTGGTGACACAGTTAAGTAATCGCACAGCCAGGTGGGAGAATAGTTCAGGTTTGTAAACACAAAGCATTTGGTATCAAAATGAGACAAAGGTATGGCCTAGTTGGAATCTTCAGCTGATTCTTCATCTGTTTAGTTAATGATCAAAATTGAGCCTGTCTTCAGGAAGAGATTATTCCACTCCTATACTGTTGCTTTATTTTGCGATTAGTCTGTAAAAGCTTTGTGTATTAGAGAGCTTTTGTTGCTCCATGCTGGCATTCTACCACTTGAGCCACAGCTGTACTTGTAGGTTTTTGGTGGTTCATTGGAGATAAGAGTCTCGTGGACTTTCCTATGTAGGCTGGTTTTGAATTGCCATTCTCAGATCTCAGTAGCTAGGATTGCAGGTGTGAGCCACTAGCGCTTGGATTTCTGGATAGTTTCTTTTCTTTCTTTTTTTTTTTTTTTTGCCAGTCCTGGGCTTCATCTCAAAGCCTGGGCTCTGTCTCTGAGCCTCTCTGTGGTAAAGGCTTGCACTCTATCACTTGAGCCACAGCGCCACTTTTGGCTCTGTCTGTGTATGGTATACTGAAGAATGGAACCCAGGGCTTCATGCATGCTAGGCAAGCACTTTACCACTAAGCCACATTTCCAAGCCCCTCTGAGTAGTCTTATGTTTTTTATTTTTTTATTTTTATTTTTTGGGTCCAGTCGTGGGGCCTGAACTCTGGGCTTGGGCGCTGTCCCTCAGCTCTTCAGCTCAAGGCTAGTGCTCTACCACTTAAGCCACAGCGCCACTTCCGGCTTTTTTCTTTTTTGCTTATGTGTTTGCTGAGGAATAGAACCCAGGGCCTCATGCGTGCAAGGCAAGCGCTCTTCCACTGAGCCACCTTCCCAGCCCCTTACGTTTTTTATTTTTAAGCTGGCCTTTTTTTGGTGAGGCTGCTTTTCATTATGTAGCCCAAACAAGTCTCTTACTTTGTAATGAACCCAGGTTGGCCTGGAATTTGTAATTCTCATTCCTCAGTCTTAAAGGTATGTCCCATGCCAGACCCCATTAGCTGTTTTGCTGTGTGATAAGTCTGCAGTGCTAGGGCTTGAACTGGTTTGGCTCAGGCTGGCACTCTACCACTTGAGCCACTCCACTTCCGGCTTCTTGCTGATTATTTGGAAATAGAAGTCTCTTATGCTTGGGCTTTTAAACCTCAGTCCTCAGGATTGTAGCCACTGGTGCCCTGTTTACTGGTTATTTTTTTTGACTGTTTCTCTGTTCCATTAGTACTGAGAATCATTTTTCCTTAAATTGTTTTAAGGAAACAATTGTTTAAGAGATCAAAGTGTCTCTACCACTTTGAGCCACAGGTTCACTTCCGGTTTTCTGGTGGATAATTAAAGCATCTCATGGGGACTTTTCAGGTCAGGCTGGATTTGAACCATGATCCTCAGATCTCAGCCTCCTGAGTAGCTAAGATTACATGTGTGCCCAATTGGATTTTGGTTTTCATGTATAATATACTTGCGTAAAATATATGTTGGCCACTTTTATTCAGTTAGATTTGGCTCATCTTTATATTATAGACGGATCTGTTTATATTGCATGTATTATAGATTTGTGTGTATGTGTCAAACCTTTTATGAAAACTTGTAGATCTCTATTATTGTCTCACCCTTCCTCCCTGGTGTGCCCTTGTGACGTTTCAGGAGGCTGTGACCTTCGATGATGTGTTTGTCAACTTCACCCTGGAGGAGTGGGCTCTGCTGGATGCAGCCCAGCAGCAGCTATACAGAGACGTGATGGTGGAGACCTTCCGGAACCTGGCCTCCATACGTAAGGACCACTTCCTTCCCTGACCTGCTCACTCAGGGAGCGAGGCACTGTTGTTCTCCCGTGCTGCTCAGTCATGTGGAATGTGGCATGAGAACATTTGGGTAAACCTGCCAGACATGCTCGTGTCACGCCGTGAATGTAACTGGAATCTCGTGATTACTCTGTAAAGTTGTCATCATTTGTAATGATGTTCTGGATCGACATTATAGAACAAGAAAGGGAAGACCAGACCACTGAAGAGGTATGCTAAAGTCCCAGGAGATAACTAAGATAATTTATACTTACAAAGTTAGAAAAGGCCGGGCACTGGTAGCACTTTCCTATAATCCTAGCTACTCAGGAGGTTGAGATCTGAGGATCACGGTTCAAAGCCAGCCTGGGCAGGAAAGTCCACATGAGACTCTTATCTCCAATTAACCACCAGAAAACTGGAAGTGGCGCTGTGGCTGTAGAGCGCTCGCCTTGAGCTGAAGAGCTCAGGGATGTCTCCCAGGCCCAGAGTTCAAGCCCCACAACAGACTCCCCCCCCAAAAAAAAAAAAAAGTTAGAAAAGAATTTTCAACCAAAGAAACCATACAATTAAGCTCAAGTTCATATTGATTTGATCTCAGGAAATGTTCTCCAAAAATGGATTTAGGTAGAACCACCATAATCTGCACATCCAAAATGTTTTAACATTGGAAGCCTCTGGACCTCCGGTCTTTTGCCAAAAACAACGATTTCTGATGCTTTAAGGTAAGGAAACTTTCTCCCATGCACAAAATTAACACGTCTGAAATTATGTTCAGAGTTTGTATATATGGTATATGGGAAAGATAGAGATTTTGTGTTTGGATTTTGAGCTTTGTTCGAAGCATCTCATTTTACGTATGCAAATAGTTGTAAATTCAAATGCTTTGAATCTCAACTGTTCACAAAAGAAATACTCAACTAACTTTATTTAAAGCTGAAATAGGAAGTGGCACTATGACTTAAGCAGTAGAGCGCTCACCTTGAGCTGAAGAGTGCAGGGATAGTGCCCAAGCCCAGAGTTCAAGCCCCACAACTGACCAAAAAAAAAAAAAGAGCATGGTCTGGGAAGGTAGACTGGTAGTATGCTTGCCTTAAATGCATGAGGCCCTGGGTTTGATTCCTCAGCACCACATAAACAGAAAAAGCTGGAAGTGGCACTGTGGCTCAAGTGGTAGAGCGCTCACCTTGAGCTGAAGAGCTGAGGGACAGCGCCGAGGCCCAGAGTTCAGGCCCCATGACCAGCAAAAAGAAAAGGTGAGCTAGTCTGTCGTGGGAACCATATGAAGATGCCTCATGATAAGACTGCATCTGTATTCTAAAATTCTAACACGGGCTGGGAAGGTGGCTCAGTGGTAGAGCGCTTGCCTTACATGCATGAGGCCCTGGGTTCGATTCCTCAGCACTACATAAGCAAAAAAAAAAAGCCAAAAGTGGCGTTGTGGCTCAGTTCGTAGAGCGCTAGGCTTGAGCTGAAGAGCTGAGGGACAGCGCCCAGGCCCAGAGTTCAGGCCCCATGACCGGACCCAAAAAAATAAAATAAAATTCTAACAGGACATCAAACTGATAGCTCTCCTGCTAAGTCATGACAAAGTAATGACTCAGTCATGCCCTCTCACTTATTTCCAGGGTTTAAGATATATGAAGACTTGCTGGGCACCAGTGGTCACACCTGTAATCCTAGCTATTCAGGAGGCTGAGACTTGAGGATTGCAGTTCAAAGTCAGCCCAGGTAGGAAAGTATGTGAGAGACTCTTAACCTCCAATGAACCACCAGAAAACCGGAAGTGGTGCTGTGACTCAAGTGGTATGATGCTCACCTTGAGCTGAGGAGCTGAGGGACAGCGCCCAGGCCCAGAGTTCAAGCCCCACAACTGACAAGACGAAAAGATGGAGACTCTGGACAAAAAGAAGCTATTCAAGGTGGAGAAATCTTCCACAGTACTCTAGATGCTGTTCTGAACATTAAAACCCCCGCTGGAGTGGAAGCAGGCGTCTTTGACATCTTCCTCAGGCAATCGTCCCTGAGTATGGCTCTCAGAACTTGCTCTGACTCCAAACTCTATGAGTATCGGGAGTTTGAAGAAAAGCCGTGTAAATGTACGTGTGGGAGAGCCTTCAGCGACCCCCAGTGCTTCCAGAACGCTGACAGCACCAACGCAGGAGTGAGAACCCACGAGTGTCAGCAGTGTGGGAATGTCTTCAGTCATCCCACTTCCCCTGAAATGTTTGCGAGCACCGTACAGAAACTGTTTGTGTGTCAGCAATGTGGGAAAGCGTTTCGTTCTTCCAGTTACATTAAAATTCACGAAAGGACGCACAGTGGGGAGAAGCCTTACGTGTGCAGCTACTGTGGGAAGGCCTTCCGGCAGTCAAGTCACCGCATCCGACATGAAAGGACTCACACCGGAGAGAAGCCGTGTGTGTGTGAGCAGTGTGGGAAAACCTTCTATTCTTTGAGTGATGTTCGAAAGCATGAACGAATTCACAGTGGTGAGAAACCTTTTCTGTGTAAAGAGTGCGGGAAAGCCTTCAGTGACTCAAGCTCCTTGCACAAACATAAAATAACCCACACTGAAGAGAAGCCCTATGTATGTAGACAGTGTGGAAAAGCCTTCAGGTCCTGCGGCTATCTGACCATACACGAGAGGACTCACACTGGAGAGAAGCCTTACGTCTGTAATCAGTGTGGGAAAGCATTCGGGCAATCCAGTCACTGTCTCATCCACGAGAGAACTCACACTGGAGAGAAGCCCTATGTGTGTAAGCAGTGTGGGAAAGCCTTCTTTACTCTCAGTGGTCGTCGGAAACACGAGCGAACTCACAATGAAGAGAAACCCTTCCCCTGTAACGAATGTGGAGAAGCCTTCAGTGATTCCAGTTCCTTACACACACACAAAATAAAACACTGGGGAGAAGCTTTATGTATGTAAACAATGTAGGAAAGACTACTTTGATGTTCGAAATCTTGAATTTGGGAGCTGAGAATGTGACTGAATGCTTGCCTAGCATGCGTGAAGCCCTGGGTTCAATTCCTCAGTACCCCATACACACAAAAAGCCGGAAATGGCTCAAGTGGGAGAGTGCTAGCTTTGATTAAAAGAAGCTCAGGGACAGTCCCCAAGCCCTGAGTTCAAGCCCCAGAACTGGCAAATAAAACATGTATTTGGACTGGGATTGTGGCTTATTGGTAGAGAGCTTATTTACCCTGCTTGAAGCCCAGGGTTTGATTCCTTAGTACAACTTAAAGAAAAAGTCATTAAATGAATCAAAAAATAAGCCAGAGCTGGGTGCTGGTGGCTCACACCTGCAATCCTACTCAGGAGGCTGAGATCTGAGGATCACAGTTCAAAGCCAGCCCCGATAGGAACTTCCATGAGCCTGTCATGTCCAATTAACCCCCAGAAAACTAGAAGTGGTGCTGTGGCTCAAAAGTGGCAGAGCAGTAGAGCTGAAGATCTCAGGGACAGCACCCAAGCCCAGAGTTCAAGTCCTAAAACCAACAACAAAAACAACTATGAATGCACTTAAAATAGAAAGAACCCATCCTATGTAAGGAACGTGGGAAAACTTTCAGTGATCCTATTTCTTTTTTTTTTTTTTTTTTTGTCGGTCGTGGGGCTTGAACTCTGGGCCTGGGCGCTGTCCCTCAGCTCTTCAGCTCAAGGCGAGCGCTCTACTACTTGAGCTACAGC